CATCCCAGTCCATCCCAGTCCATCCCAGTTTGATCCCAGTCCATTCCCAGTCCATCCCAGTCCATCCCAGTCCCATTCCAGTCCATCCCAGTCCATCCCAGTCCATCCCAGTTTGTTCTCAGTCCATCCCAGTCCATCCCAGTCCATCCCAGTCCATCCCAGTCCATTCCCAGTCCATCCCAGTCCATCCCAGTTTGTTCCCAGCACGGCCGGCTCAAGCTCCGCCCCCCGGACGCCGCCCGGCGCCGCCAGCGCGAGGAGAAACTGAGGCACTACCGGGAGGCCATGGACGCCTTACTGGGGGTAACTGGTTTATACTGGTTTATACTGGTTTATACTGGTTTGGACTGGTTTGGACTGGGAGGGACTGGGAGGGACTGGGAGAGACTGGGAGGGGGAAAATTGGGGAAAAAAAAGGGAAAATTTGGGGAAAAATGGGGAAAAAATGGGAACATTTGGGGGATTAAAGGTTTAAAAATGGGAATTTGGGTTACTGGTTTATACTGGGACAGACTGGTTTTTACTGGTTTTTACTGGTTTATACTGGTTTGGACTGGGAGGGGGGAAAATGGGTGAAAAAATGGGAAAAAATTCAAATTGAAAGGGTTAAAAATGGGGGGAAAATGGGGAAAAATGGGGAAAAATGGGAATTGGGGTTACTGGTTTATACTGGTTTTTACTGGTTTGTACTGGGAGGGGGGAAAATGGAAAAAAAATGGGTGAAAAAATGGGAAAATTTTGGGAAAAAATGGGAAAAATGGGAAAATTTTGGGGATTAAAGGGTTAAAAATGGGATTGAAAGGGTTAAAAGTGGGGAAAAATGGGAATTGGGGTTACTGGTTTGTAGTGGTTTGTACTGGTTTATACTGGTTTATACTGGGAGGGGGGGAAATGGGAAAAATGGGGAAAAATGGGAAAAATTAGGAAAAAATGAGGAAAAAATGGGAAAAATTGGGAAAAATTTGGGGATTAAAGGGTTAAAAATGGAATTTAAAGGGTTGAAAATGGGGAAAATGGGAATTGGGGTTACTGGTTTGTACTGGTTTGTACTGGTTTATACTGGTTTATACTGGTTTGGACTGGTTTATACTGGGAGGGGGGAAAATGGGGAAAAAATGGGAAAAAAATTGGGATTGAAAGGGTTAAAAGTGGCATTTAAAGGGTTAAAATGGGGAAAAATGGGAATTGGGGTTACTGGTTTATACTGGTTTGGACTGGTTTGTACTGGGAGGGTGGAAAATGGAAAAAAATGGGAAAATTTGGGGAAAAATGGGGAAAAAATGGGAAAATGGGGGAAAGTTTGGGGATTAAAGGGTTAAAAATGGGGACAAATTGGGGGAAAATGGGAATTGGGGTAACTGGTTTATACTGGTTTGTACTGGTTTGTACTGGTTTGGACTGGGAGGGAAAAATTGGGGAGAAATGGGGAAAAATGGGAAAAATTGGTAAAAATTTGGGGATGAAAGGGTTAAAAATGGAGAAAAAATTGAAGAAAATGGGAACTGGGGTTACTGGTTTATACTGGTTTGTACTAGTTTATACTGGGAGGGACTGGGAGTGGCAAAAATCGGAAAAAATGGGGAAAAAATGGGAAAAAATGGGAAAATTTGGGGGATTAAAGGGTTAAAAATGGGGACAAATTGGGGGAAAATGGGAATTGGGGTTACTTGTTTATACTGGTTTATACTGGTTTGTACTGGTTTATACTGGGGTGGGACTGGGAAGGAAAAATGGGAAGAAATGGGGAAAATTTGGGAAAAAAGTGGGAAAAATTGGGAAAAATTTGGCGATTAAAGGGTTAAAAGTGGGGAAAATTGGGAATTGGGGTTACTGGTTTATACTGGTTTATACTGGTTTATACTGGTTTATACTGGGAGTGACTGGGAGGGGGAAAAACGGGGAAATTTGGAAAAAAAAAAGGGGGAAAAATGTGAAAAAATTGGGGATTAAAGGGTTAAAAATGGGAATTTGGGGGTACTGGTTTGAACTGGTTTGAACTGGTTTATACTGGGAGGGACTGGGAGGGAACTGGGATTTACTGGTTTATACTTGTTTATACTTGTTTATACTGGTTTATACTGGTTTATACTGGTTCATACTGGTTTATACCGGTCCATACTGGTTTATACTGGTCCGTACTGGTTTATACTGGTTTATACTGGTTTGTACTGGTTTGCAGGCCCCGCCCCCAGCCCAGGTTCTGGCTCTGACCGGGGCGGTGCTCTCGGCCAATCCCGACGTGGGAACCTGCTGGAACCGGCGCCGCCGCGCACTGGGTGAACTGGGAGGGGACTGGTGCGTACTGGTTTATACTGGTTTATACTGGGAGGGGCTGCTTTGGACTGGGTTTTTACTGGTTTATACTGGGAGGGGGTTTAGGACACTCTGGGACCCACTGGGAGTAAATTTTGAATGGTTCAGCCCTTACTGGTTTGTACTGGTTTATACTGGGAGTGGTTTGGAGGCTGCCAAATAATGATCCATTGAAAACCCCATAGGCGAGGCCTTGCCAAATAGTGAGCCATTTTCACTCATTCTATGGGGGTTTGGAGTGGTTTATACTGGTTTATATTGGTTTGTACTGGTTTATACTGGGAGAGGTTTTGGACCCTCTTGGAGTGATTTTGGGGTGGTTCAACCCTTACTGGTTTTTACTGGTTTATACTGGGAGCGATTTTGGGTGCTGCCAAATAGTGAGCCATTGAAAACCCCATAGGCGAGGCCTTGCCAAATAGTGAGCAAGTGACTCATTTTATGGGGGTTTATACTGGTTTATACTGGGAAGGGTTTTGGAACCTCTGGGAGTGAATTTTGGGGTGGTTCAGCCCTTACTGGTTTATACTGGGAGTGGGTTGGGTGCTGCCAAATAATGAGTCATTGAAAACCCCATAGGCGAGGCCTTGCCAAATAGCGAGCCAGTGACTCATTCTATGGGGGTTTGGACTGGTTTATGCTGGTTTGTACTGGTTTATACTGGGAGAGGTTTTGGAACCTCTGGGAGTGAATTTGGGGTGGTTCAGCCCTTACTGGTTTATACTGGTTTTTACTGGTTTATACTGGGAACGATTTTGGGTGCTGCCAAATAATGATCTATTGCAAATCCCATAGGCGAGCCCTTGCCAAATAGTGAGCCATTTTCACTCATTCTATGGGGGTTTGGACTGGTTTATATTGGTTTGTACTGGTTTATACTGGGAGGGGGCTCGAGACACTCTGGGTCCCACTGGGAGTGACTTTTGTGTGGTTTAGGCCTTACTGGTTTATACTGGTTTATACTGGGAGCGATTTTGGGTGCTGCCAAATAATGATCCATTACCAAATCCCATAGGTGAGGCCTTGCCAAATAGTGAGCTAATGACTCTATATGGGTTGTACTGGTTTATACTGGTTTGTACTGGGAGGGGTTTTGGACCCACTGGGAGTGAATTTTGGGTGGTTTAGGTCTTACTGGTTTATACTGGTTTATACTGGGAGTGGTTTGGAGGCTGCCAAATAATGATCCATTAGAAATTCCATAGACGAGGCCTTGCCAAATAGTGAGCCATTGACTCACTCTATGGGGATTTGGACTGGTTTATACTGGTTTGTATTGGTTTGTACTGGTTTATACTGGGGAGGGTTTGGGGGGTTGCCAAATAATGAGCCATTGCAAATCCCATGGGCAAGGCCTTGCCAAATAGTGAGCCATTGACTCTATATGAGTTTGTACTGGTTTATACTGGTTTGGACTGGTTTATACTGGTTTATACTGAGAGGGGGTTTTGGACCCACGGGAGTGATTTTGGGGTGGTTCAGCCCTTACTGGTTTATACTGGTTTATACTGGGAGCGATTTTGGGTGCTGCCAAATAATGATCCATTGCAAATCCCATAGGTGAGGCCTTGCCAAATAGTGAGCCATTGACTCTATATGGGTTTGGACTGGTTTGTACTGGGAAGGGTTTTGGACCCACTGGGAGCGAATTTTGGCTGGTTCAGCCCTTACTGGTTTATACTGGTTTTTACTGGTTTTTTCCCTTTTTTTTTCTGTTTTTTCCAACTCATACTGGTTTATACTGGTCCATACTGGTTTATACTGGTCTCTCCCGGTTTGATTTGCACTATTTTGTATTGGTTTGTACTGGTTTTTACCCCTTTTTGTCCCTTTTTGTCCCTTTTTTTTCCTTTTTTTTCTGTTTTTTTACCACTCAAACTGGTTTATACTGGTCCATACTGGTTTATACTGGTCCATACTGGTCCATACTGGTTTATACTGGTCCATATTGGTCTGTCGCAGTTTGCTTTGCACTATTTTGTACTGGTTTGTACTGGTTTTTACTGGATTTTCCTTTTTTTTCCCTTTTTTTTATGTTTTTTCCAACTCATACTGGTCCATACTGGTTTAAACTGGATAAAATCGAGTCCAAAACCCCATTTTAAATTGGTTTTTGACTTCTTTTTTTGCATTTTTTTTCCTTTTTTTCCCTTTTTTTCCTGTTTTTTACCACTTGTACTGGTCCATACTGGTCCATACTGGTTTATACTGGTCCATACTGGTTTATACTGGTTTATACTGGTCCATACTGGTCCATACTGGTTTATACTGGTTTATACTGGTTTATACTGGTCCATACTGGTTCCAGGGTGCAGTCGGAGCTCTCCTTCGTGGCGCAGTGCCTGGGGGTGAACCCCAAATCCTACGGGGCGTGGCACCACCGGGGCTGGGTGCTGGGACACGGGAGAGCGCCCCCCGCTGGCCGGGAGGACCTGGCGCTGTGCGAGCGCCTCCTGGAGGCCGATCCCCGGAACTGTGAGTCATTTATACTGGTTTATACTGGTTTATTCTGGTTTATACTGGGATGGGGTCTGGAGTCACTGGGATAAACTAGGATGAACTGGGAGAGCGCCCCCCGGTGGCCGGGAGGACCTGGATGATGATTTCCATAATTGTGAATGCTCAAACTGGTTTGTACTGGTTTATACTGGGATGGACTGGGAAAGGGTCCTGAGAGTCACAGGGATGAACTGGGTTAAACTGGGATAAACTGGGTTAAACTGGGATAAACTGGGATAAACTGGGAGAGCGCCCCCCGGTGGCCGGGAGGACCTGACGCTGTGCGAGCGCCTCCTGGAGGCCGATCCCAGAAACTGTGAGTCACTGGTTTATACTGGTTTATACTGGTTTATACTGGGAGCTGCTCCTACGCCCCGGGGGTGGCTCCCAGTGCTAACTGGTTTATACTGGTGCCATCCCAGTATAAATCTCACACATTTTATACCCCATTTGGAGCTCTTAGACCCCACTGAGAACCCTTAGACCATACTGGGAGTGGTTTTAAGATATGCTCTCCTTACTGGTTTATACTGGGAATTGCTCCCACACACCGGGGGTGGTTCCCAGTGCTAACTGGTTTATACTGGTGCCATCCCAGTATAATTCTGAGCACCCTTAGAGCACATTGGGAGCCCTTAGACCCCACTGGGAGCTGTTAGGCCATACTGGGACCAGGTTTAGGTGATGCTACCCTTACTGGTTTATACTGGGAGCTGCTCCCACGCCCCCGGGGTGGCTCCCAGTGCTAACTGGTTTATACTGGTGTGTTCCCAGTCCACGCCTGGGAGCACCGGCGCTCTCTGGTGGCCGGAGGTTCCCCCCAGGCCGAGCTGGAATATTCCGGGGCGCTGCTGAGCCGCGATTTCTCCAATTTCTCCGCTTGGCACCACCGCCTGCGCCTGCTGGCCCCGGCCAGGGACGGCGGGGAGGGGCACCCCGGGGTGCTGCCCCCCGAGAAGCTGCAGAGAGGTGAGATT